CGATTTGACTGGTGAGGTGAACTCCACCCCCAAAGCATCTTGTTTGCGCCAACGTGCCTGGTGCAGTGACGTCACCTGGAGGTGACATCATCGCGCCGGGCATGTCGCAGGGAGGACGCTCTATCATTTAAGGAAAACCCTTAGAGTTTTCCTTAGAGCGTTCCCTGCAATGTGCCCTGTGTGATGACATCACTTCTGGGTGACATCATCACAGCACGCGTGCCTATGAGATCCCAAAGAAGGACCAGGACCCACCCCCCGCCAGCAGCCAGGCAAGATCCAGCAACCCTAACTATACCATGATAGTTCTCAAAGGAAAAAAATGACATTCTGAGAAATATAGCCACCGATTTTGGAGCTGTGAAATAGGCGAAAAAATGCTCTCCTATTCAGAGGGAGGCGTGGAAAAATCACTCTGATAAGAACATAAGAGAAGCCGTATTGCATAAGGCCATCCAGTCCAACACTCTGTGTCACACAGCGGCCAAAACCCAGGTGCCATCGGGAGGTCCACCAGCAGGGCCAGATTTTGCTATATAGCAGCTAAATCTTGACTGTCCAAACGATCCAACCAATCAGGGGTCATATCTCTGATGTGTGATCCCTAATTGCTTGCACCATCACATGATCACACTGTCTGTGTGATCCCTGACTGCTCGAATCATCTGACTGGTAATGAACCTATATATATTTTTTTCCCCAATGGCACCCAAGAAGCTGTTGAGAGAGGCCCAGAAGAATGAAATTGTTCAATAGTTGTAAGGTCTTTTGGAATACACTTGTGAGTCCTTCAGACTCTCTTTTCATAACGACAATGTCACCTCACAAAATTTGTGTTCATACTTAGGACTAATGGAGAGCAAGGAGTAAAGATTGGGTTAACTGGAGCAAGTACATGTATGAAATAGCAGAAGTTATTGGTGTTGGAAACTTGGGGTGCAGTCCTGCTTCTTCCATGCATGGGAGTGGCTTCACTGGATCGTGCTGTTTCCCCAGCGTTGTGCTTGGAAATCTAGGCAGCATTGCTCTGCATGTGCTTCCTCCCGAGCCCTTGCGCATGGTGGTTCCTTCTGATCCCACCGAGGGGGGCCATGGCTCAGTGGTAGAGCATCTGCATGGCATGCAGAAGGTCCCAGGTTCAAACCCCAGCATCTCCAGTTTAAAGGACCAAGCAGTAGGTGATGTAAAAGACCTCTGCCTGAGACCGTCTTCTGGGCGTGGAACAGTGGTCACTGATGGTGTGGAGGGGGAGGTATTTATGAATTCCCTGCATCGTGCAGGGGGTTCGACTAGATGACTCTCGAGGTCCCTTCCAACTCAATAATTCTACAACCCTGGAGAGCTGCTGCCGGTCTGAGTAGACAATATTGGCCTTGATGGACCAAGGATCCAATTCAGTACTAGGCAGCTTCATGTGTTGGGGGTAGGGGGTGCTGTGGCTCAGTGGAAGAGCCTCATCAGAAGGATCCAAGTTCAATCCGCAGCATCTCCAGTTCAGATCAGGTAGGAAGCGATGTGAAAGAAGTCAACCTTTCTCACAATACAAGAATTCGTGGGCACTCAATGGAATTGCTGAGCAGTCGGGTTAGAACAGATAAAAGGTAATAGCCACTGATGGACTTCTGATCCATATGCTTATCTAATTCCCTCTTGAAGCCTTCCAAGCTTGTAGCCACCACCACCTCCTGTGGCAGTGAATTCCAGATTAAAGGAAGTGCTTCTTCACCCAAAGAGTGATTAACACATGGAATTCACTGCCACAGGAGGTGGCGGCGGCTACAAGCTTGGACAGCTTCAAGAGGGAATTAGATAAGCATATGGATGTCAGGAACTTTAGGCTGGTAATCCACACACCCAGGCTCCTTCAGAAGATAAGTGTTTATTATGGTCACGCAGAACTAAAGTACATGTAAACAGCCTGTGTTAAGAATGCCCTATAATATGATAGCTACTAAGTTATAGCATATTCAAACTACCCCCCCCCCCACCTGCGAAGCCAATGAGGTTTTCTCACGCGCGCAGGCCCTGCAAGCAAGCAAGCATTTTTGCTCCCAAAGCAGTTACAGTTCCCAGGCCTGGGGAATTACAGCAAAGCATCTTCAAGGCCAATGTGCAGATAGCGGGAGCGTTAGGCAGAGAAGCGCTGAGAACGGGAGGGAGATAAAATCCCCCCTCACATTCAAACACCATGACAGGCCTACCTGATAATTGAGCAGAAGTCCATCCTTGGCTATTAGCCACAAGGTATAGATAGGAACTCTCAGTCTGGGGCAAGTGATGCTCTGTATTCTTGGTGCTTGGGAGGGGGCAACAGTGGGAGGGCTTCTAGTGTCCTGGCCCCCCTGCTGGACCTCCTGATGGCCCCTGGTATTTTTGGCCACTGTGTGACACAGAGTGTTGGACTGGAGGGGCCATTGCCCTGATCCAACATTGGCTTCTCTTATGTTCTTATGGCCTTGCTGGTGGACCTCCTGATGGCCCCTGGCATTTTTGGCCACTGTGTGACACAGAGTGTTGGACTGGAGGGGCCATTGCCCTGATCCAACATTGGCTTCTCTTATGTTCTTATGGCCTTGCTGGTGGACCTCCTGATGGCACCTGGTATTTTTGGCCACTGTGTGACAGAGTGTTGGACTGGAGGGGCCATTGGCCTGATCCAACATTGGCTTCTCTGATGTTCTTATGACCTGCGACCCTGGAGAGCTTCTTTCAGTCTGAGTAGACAATACTGACCTTGAATGGACCATCAATCTGATTCAGTACCTGGCAGCTTCATGTGTACATGTATATACGTACAAGGGTAGCCAGTGTGCCAGTGCCCTGGGAAAGAAGTTTTTGTAGGATGCTTCACTGTCAGAGGACTTGTCTTTGAATCAAGGGTTCAGCTATACCTGTAGCTGCAATTCTTGGGTGCCTCATGGTGGAGCATGAGAAGGAAAGAATTAGACTGGCTCCTGATGGAGGCATTCTGCTCAGTGGGAGAAGCCAGATCCCGCACTCATCTAGAAGCCATTCATTTGGCTTTAATTTAAGTTTGGTTTGATTCAGTTGCTTGAGGTTCCCTGATGCTAAGCTCTTTAGGCTAAATGGGTTTCCAGTCCTCGGGGGTGGGGAATCTTGCGAGCTTCAGTCCTTCATAGAGGCTCGCAGCCTAACTAACGTCAGCATGTAAACATTTGTTTCCTTTAAAAATGTGTTGAAAGAAAATGCATTGGTATATTTTTGGTCTGAAAAGAGGGCAGGTAAATGATCACATATAGAAGAGAAGAAGAAGAGATTGGATTTATACCCCGCCGTTCACTACCCAAAGGTGTCTCAGAGCGGCTTACAAACTCCTTTCCCTTCCCCTCCCCACAACAAGTACCCTGTGAGGTAGGTGGGGCTGAGAGAGCTATGACAGAAAATGCTCTTTTTCAAGAACAGCTCTCATCAGAACTACGGCTTGCCCAAGGTCATCCAGCCAGGCTCAAGTGGAGGAGTGGGGAATCAAACCCGGTTCTCCCAGATTAGAGTCCACACACTTAACCACTACACCAAACTAGGTTGATGCAGGGGCTCCTGACCCTTTTGAACCTAGTGCCACATTAACCCGGGGTCCCCAACATGGTGCCCATGGGTGACGTACAGGCTTGCCAGGTTTGGGTTGGGAAATACCTGGAGATTTAGGGGGTGCAGCCTGGGGAGGGTGGGGTTTCGGGAGGGGAGGGGCTTCAGTGGGTTTTAATGCCATAGAGTTGGCCCTCCAGAGCAGCCATTTCCTCCAGGGGCATTGCTCTCGATCATCTGGGGATCAATTGTAATAGGGTGAGATCTCCAGGTGCCACCTGAAGGTTGGCAACCCTAGTGCCGTGGCACCTGTGGACACCTTTGCTGGGCGATGACAGGTGGGGCTTTTGCTGTGCAGATCCGATGGGCTGTGCAGATGTATTTATTTTTTAAATGTTGCTTTGGCAGCAGCTGCCGCCACAACACAAGGCTCTTCACTGTGACACTGTGAAGGTAAGCTGTGTCAGCCAGTTTACGGCTGACTCCACATTCTGTGGCAGCCATTTTGTGGCAGCCATTTTTGTGGCCGTGCCCAGTACTCTTTGTCAGAATCCCAAAGGTGCTTGCACTGGCTCAAAAGGGTGAGGGACACCTGGGCTACCTTGTGAGGCAGCATTTGGCTCGGCGGTTGCAAATGGTCCCGGATGGGATCGTGGAAAATGACATTCAAGAACATCTGGGAAGGGGAGGCTCCAGGTCCGCAGGGCCTGCAAGACGGAGCTCTTCCACCAGGCATCTGACCACATTCAACATCTTGATCTAACGTCAGAGCCTTCCCTGGGACTTTTCCCATCAACTATGTTTGTACTAACTGATTCCTGTGGTGAAAAATACTGGACTATGGTTCTCCGTTGTGTAGGAGTTTATGTATAGCACTTTAGATCTGATGTGGTTTTAAACTGTTTTAAAAAAAAATTATGTAGGCCGCCCTAAGCCTGCCTTGGCGGGGAGGGCGGGGTATAAATCAAATAAATAAATAAATAAAATATGTGGGAAATAATGTATGTACACAGCCAATGCTCCCTCTAAGCTGTGCAAAAATTCTACGTTCTGAGCTACTGGCATTCAAGTTGTGAACGAACGATTTGCCTACTGCATCAATTAATTTGCTCTGGAGCCCTCCTTACTGAGCTAAGACAAAAATGCATGAGCCGGAGGCTAAAAAAACTGTGAGCTAGCTCACACTAACTCAGCTTAGAGGGAACACTGTGTAACGCAGCTCCTTCTTGCAATGAAACGAAGCCAGTCTGTACATGCTGGAGCTCCACATACGTATTGGTACATGCGATGGGTTATGTTGCTGGAACGACTGCCTGGAAATAGTTGCAGTATGACCTTTGTACCCACAGATTATTACAGGCATAGCATTAAGGAGAAGTCATGATTTCTGGTTTGATTGTCCTTCTCCTGTTCAGCA